GTTCCTGGTCAGATGACGCCGTTAGATCCTACGGGCGTGCAAGCCGCAATGGCCGCGACGCACCTCAGCCCAAATAGTACTGGCGAGCTGTCAGTTCAACAACGAGCAGCTGTAGAACAATACAAACAGCAGCTACACGATTATGAGGAGCAAGAAAGCAGCGGGAATTATATCCACGAAGATCTTCAAGATCTATCATTTGGATCTCTGGGTAATGAAGAGGGGAAGCTGCCCCCACCCATGAGACCAACCGCACCTCGTACCATGTCACCGGATTCGGAGTGGGATCAGGGCAGGGGAAGTCTCTCTGATTTCAGTGACTATGAGAGCGAGGAAGAGGAACAACCGAGAAACGTCGCACACCGGCCTGCGGCGTCTTCAAGCTTGCGACAGTCAGAAAGAATCGTGGATGACGAGGACCCATTCGCCGATCCGTTTGCGGATTGATATCGAGGTATATCCAGAGGAGTGATCGCAATATATCTTATGTACATGTACTCAATCTTTCGCCATCTATTGTAATAACAGGTCTGGCAGGATTCTTGCTGGAACTATATGATGATACTAGGATGAATTATTCTGCATTAGAAGAGTATTTGGTACATGTTGTGCGGTACTCCTATCGAAGTCCCGAGGAAATAAACGCATGCAAAATCCACTAAACATCGACCTATCCTACAGTACAGCTTGCAAGGATGAAGCTTCAAAATGGCGGCGATGAACAAGAAAACCAAAATTTGGGTTGTCAACCACTTTCTATACCGCTATCCATTTCATTGTTCACTACTTGTTCACCATTTTGAGGGGATGCACCGTTCATTTGCTGCTGGTGTTGGCGAACATCTTGATGGGACTGCTGATGCTGATGCTGATGAGGGGCCATCGCGCCTCCGTGCATACTCGGGCCAAGAACTCCGAAACCTGGGCCCCCTACAACGCCCATTGGGCTTTCCAAGTACAATCGGATGAGAACGCTTTCAAGAGCAACGACAGTAGGCCCGGGGTAATCGAACGCTCGAGCATGTTCACGAATGGAGTTAAATAAAATGCTCATGCGATCCCACAGTTCTTGCTGAGATGGCGAACCCTGCGGAGGACCGATGTGAGGATAACCCATTGCCGGGGGTCCAGGGAAAGCAGGGAACGGGTGGGGTAGATGGGCGAGTGGAGGGTTTGAAGGATAGTTTTGGACCTGTGCTTGAGATGAAGTAGAGGAACCCTCCTGCTGCGTGGGAGCGGGGGCTGCAGAGGCTGCTTGTAAGGTGCGCTTCGACTCCTCCTTCTCGGCTAGAACTGTTTGTCGCCTACCGCGACGGGTGAAGGGCAGATTTGCCATCCCAATAGGATGAGAATGCTCAGCAATGTCTATGGGACTCTTCAGGAAAGGCGATTCCCCTAGCATTTCATAGATACTCACAACACACTCGAACCTCATCGGTGTCATAATAAGTCTTGTAGCTGATGGACGCCAGACACCCCTGCCCATCAAGCTGAGGGAATGCGTGAACAGGCCATACTGTGGAGCGTGCTACTGATACGAACCTTCCTGCTGGGTACCTTGCGAACGCGCTCTGGGTGTTTCTTCACATACTTCTTGCGACCGCTCCTTGAATGTCGGGCACAAACGAGTTTGGTGTGGTCCTTGAAACGGGGAGGAACTGCCTTGCTGCCATGAGTGTCGCCCTTCACGAATTCAACCATCTGTGTTTCTTCCTCATGAACCCTCCATTCCTGGAAAGCAGCGAGGTTTGGAAAAATAAGAGTGTATCCATCGTCACTGTCGCCACAACCGTAAGGAGACCTTGCAGTTGTCGACTTTGGGGGCGCCGGTGTAGCAAGGCTAGAGGGCGCTGCGGGCGTCGATGTGGACGATGGGGGATTTTGTGAATAAGATTGCTGCTGATTCTGTTGCAAATGTGGAGGCAAAGGCTGGGACATGGCCAGTTGCCCGAGCCTGAAATGCTGGAAACTCATTTTTTGACAAGGATTCAGAACAAAAAATGGTTGGGATGAAAGCAAAAAGGTGGAAAACTGGTCCCGCGTGTGACAACTTTATACAATGACACGTAACATTTTTGTCACGCACTTTCCTTTTTCCAACAATGACCTCCCTCAGAAATTCGCTGCATAGGCGAAATCATAAAGAGCGCTCGCAGCTCTCTCATCGCGCAAAATTTGGCCTTTTAGAAAAGCACAAGGACTATGTCCAACGTGCACGAGATTATCACTCCAAGCAGGATCGTATAACGCGCCTTAGGCAGAAGGCAGCGGACAGGAATAAGGATGAGTTCTACTTTGGGATGAACAAGGAGAGGACGGTGCAGGGGGTGCACGTCAAGGATAGAGGAAATGTTTCTATGCCTATGGATATGGTTAAGCTCCTCAAGACACAAGATGAGGGTTATGTTCGGACGATGAGAGCCAACGGAATCAAGGCATGCATTCCATGCGTTGTCATATATTGATCATTCAACTCATTTCTTGACAGAAAATCGAGCGAATTAAGAGCCAACTTACTGCTTTGGCCAATCTTATTACCCCGCAGGATGATAACCTAGATGACGACAGCAAGGACGCGTTGGACGAAACTGACCTGGAAACCCTTCGCGATGCAGGTGTCATACCCCCAGAGACAAAACGGCGTCCGCCCCCACGTCATATTATCTTTGCTGAGAACGAGACGGAAGGTGTGTGTATCTTGTGACGCTGTATCGGTCATGACGTGACGGTATATATACTATAGCGAGACAATTATCTCAGCGGCGATCATCAAACCAAGCCCAAGTTACGACTAAAGTGGACGTTGAGCGAGCTGAAGTTGATCTTGGCTGGAAGACCCTGGAAAGTGCATCGTCTCGACGGAGACGGAAGAGCAAATCCTTAGCCGGTCCATCAACAGATATTGTTGAGGATGCTGAAGAAACACGGCAACTTAATGCGGTATGCCTGTACTTTACTTTTATCATCTGCTTTCTGATAATTTTCACTCAGCAAAACCGCAAGCGCCTCCTGAAAGAACTCGCTGCGCGACTAAAACGCGACACTCAATTACGGTATACACAGCGTGAACTAGAGATGCAAAGACTTTTGGCAGGTAAGGGAGGTCGACGGAAGCTGCGTGGCGTCGAAGAAGTAGGGGCTGAGAACAACGATGAAGATGAGGACGAAATGGACGACGCGGCAGCTTCCAAGCAAAGCAAAGCGGATGAAAAGACCTACAAACCTCGAGTATATAAGTGGCGTATAGAAAGAAAGCGATAGTATCATCCAAGTCCACGATAATCCATTGTGTAGTCTAACGAGTATAGTGCGAGTGTATATGGTACGAGTTCAGTCACAGATATCACTGTTTGATAGACTGCGAGTAGTGGTGTATGACCAACACCAGATGACAGATTAAAAAATGCAGAAGGCGCCGAACGCTACGCTCCCAATAACCACCCAAACCGAACTCCACCGACGGAAGCTAGGTGGGCTGGAGTTCAATGAGGATGAGGTCACGCTCGGTGAGGAGGCTGAACCTGTTCCCCCCGGAGTCGCAATTGGCGTGGCAGGGGAATAGGTGACGCCGTTAGCGGTGGCAGCGACCTGGAAGACAGATCCACCACCGTACTCGTAGAACTTGGAATCATTAGAAGAAAATCCACGAGATACTTGGATGTACGTACGTCAACGAGCATAAAGTTCGGGTTTCTACCCTGTTGTCCAACACAAAGATTGAACTGGTCACCGAGGGAATTTGTACCGGATACGGCATTGGTTTGATTGGCTTGGCTTGGGTCTGGAGCAGGTTGGCCAAGGATCACGGTATCCAAAAAATGATTGATAAGGTACATAGATGTAGCGGTAGGGGTGTTAGCGTTAGACCGGTTCACATTGCAATCAAATGATGTGGTGACATCATACGCAGTTTCCCAGATGTTAGTGAATTCTGGGGGCAAGTATCAAGCAGTCTCCACAGGCATAATTGTATGACACACCGTCAATAATATAAGGAATGGAGTTAAAGTCAGCGTTGGAGTCCATGAAAGTTATCAATCGTGTTCCCGAATCGATGAGGCTGCCAAGGGTCGGCCAGCCACTTTCAAGCAGCGAAGAGGAAGGTGGTGAGTAAGACACCGTGTCCAGCCCAACAGCTTTGAAGACTGTGTCATAATCACTCGGCGGAAGAGTGTCAGAGTTGACGATGAGCAATGAAAGCACTGGACAAGACATCTTCAGAAATGCCAAAGTCTTCGTGAAAGCTACAGACCTTCATTTGGATTCGCGTCTAGCCAGGCTTTAACTATATGCCAAGGGATAAGGAAAGGAACTTGACGGCGAAGATTTATTCTCACCAGTTGTAAGGTAAGCCTGAAGAGTTCCGCCATCAAAGAGTGACTACAACACGGTGAGTACGGCATGACGTGGACAACCTGTATGCCACCTACACAACTCGTGTGACAAAGGTGAATGACTCCATTCGAGTTATGGGCCTGCATTTGCAGCATTCTGATCCCATCATTCAGCTGTTGGGTGACTGACAGGGGTCATTCTAAAGTAAGTCCGAAGTTCGGAAAGAATTTTGTGCTCTCACTATTGTAGTCCTGGGTTGTGAAAACTTCAGGAGAGTAATTGAGCGAGTATCTGCATGCACAAGGACATTGGAGCTCACCATTGTTGGTACCGACTGCATAAGAATCGTGGGCACCGACGAAAGTAACGTTTCCGAAACTACGGGTACACAGATCAGGGCTTCCATTGCAAATCGTGGCACGTCGAAGCGGTGATTCGGCGGGCGAAGCATAAACAAAGTCAAAGATGGATGACATCACTGCAAAAGTGGACAGAGCGACCTGCGCCCTGGAGAAAGAAAACGATAACATGATGGACGATGTTTGAAGTGAGTGAGTGTGGGTTTGCAACAAGACAAGGGAAACAAAAGCGACTAGGCTGCATAGCTCTGTAACCACGCCACTACTGCGGCACATGAAATAAAATAAAATAGCACCATGATGCATGGTGAGATGGCCGAGCGGTCTAAGGCGCCAGACTAAGGATCAGCTCATTGGATGAGCATGTTATCTGGTCCTCCGGGGCGTGGGTTCGAATCCCACTCTCATCAATACTTTTGCTGGATCTCGCCATGAATTTTTTTGTGCGAGAATTCCTACCCTGTTCCACAGGATATGTATTATGTACATGAGGTTTACATGAGGTACTGCGAATGTAATCCTCAGAGGGTGAGGTGACGATCATAGTGATACAAGTGCGATTCGGAAACGAACGCAAGAAGTAGCCGATTAATTTTCCAGCAGCAGCTCAATCAAGTCAAAGTTTCTGTGATACTGAAATGCACATGGTCCCCCTCGCCTAGGGTGAGCCTGACTGGCAGACGGGGATCAATGCGCACAGGAGCGCTAGAGCCAACGAAAAAGTCTCCACGACTGAAATTCCTAGTGATGGCGGCTGCTTCTTCCTCTGTGAGATTACGTGGCCGCTTGTTAGGGCGAAAGGTAGATGAAGAGGCGCCAGTAAATGCGCCATTATAATCATAATATTGATGTTGGCTGAGAGTAGGTGCTCCATGGACATATCCAAGGGGTGTCTGAGCAAATGTAGACACACCGGGTGCTGGGAGATTACAAGATCGTGAATAAGTAGACTACGTTTCAGCGGTGTCAGATAATTACTTTGATGCGACTGATTTTGGTCACTTTCGGGATCTGGATATGCACATGTTGCGCCAATACCTCGTTTTAAGCAGCTCTAATAGGAGGTACGCGGTCAATATATCAGAAAATGAATCTGCTTGTTCGAGATCTGTACTAACCTGGCACGGTAATACCTCGCTACATCGAGTTTTGCCGGTATGACATGCAGTACATGCTCGCCTTACTGAAGGGGCTTTTGCTGGACATTATATATATATGACACTGTTGACGATTATGGCGCGCAGCTCACCTTTACGAGTTGCTGTGGAATCGTTAACTGGGGATGGGCCATTGGGAGTATGCTGTTGTTGCTGCTGGGCGTCGGCAGCATGTTGATGAAGTTGATGAAGTTGTTGTGCGTCCATGGCCGACGCCGCATCATGCGCCGGTGTAGATGCCTCACTAAGAGCCGACATGGGTGTAGCGGAGCGGTGAGGTTCCGACGCTGTTCGGTGAAGCGGGAATATAAGTAATTCATCGGAGCGGATATGCCTATTTAGTTGATATTTATCTCCATTTATGCGTATTTGTACATCCGGTAGCTCCCGCCACACCGGCGAAGGCACGGTTCTATGCCGTAACTCCGCATACCGGTAATCCTTTCATTCCGGGTCGGTAATCGTTCTTGCCTGCACCACCATGTCATCCCAATCTCCGTCCCAGCCACCTCCCTTCTCCGAGTTCGAGTATGTATTTGATCCTGCTCTCGCAGGTTTATCACCTCCTCTTCTTCCCATACCATCATCTGCAGACCTTTTCTCTCCATCTGAAACAACTGATCTCCTAGGATTTCTGGACAACTTTAATTGGGATTTCGAAGCAGACCCCGCTCTCGCTACGCCTTATCATATACAGCAAAGCGCGCATAACTCGGGAGAAACCGTATCACCGGTGCTCCCAGAGATGCCATCAGATACATCCAATGCCAGACCCTCATCTTCTTCATCCGCAACTTCGTCATCTCCCTCAAAACCAGAATCCAGAGGCACAAAGCGCAAGAGAGCTTCTGCAGCCTCGTGCCAGACGGGCAGAGCAAAAGTCCTCCTCTCAACCCCTCAGAAAAGACTCAATCATATCATGTCAGAGCAAAAGCGTCGCAATGCCATTCGTGAGGGCTACGCGCAGTTGATATCCCTTCTCGCCCCAGCTGGTGCACAGGCTATTGATATGCCTACTAGGGGTAGACCAAAAGGCAGCGGGAGCAGGGGGAAGGGTCACAGCAAAGGCAAGAGCGGAGTGCTCTTTCGAGCAGTCGAGTACTGTCGGTGGCTTGAGGAAGGGAGGGATGCTTTAATGGATGAGGTACTTCGTCTAGAAGCTGCCGCAGGCATTGTGTACCCGTCTCGGCAATAACGGGCATGCATTGCTTTATCAAGACAAGTTTCTGAAACCGTGGTGAGTATTTCGGTCTCTATGCGTCCGGATCTCATCAGTCTTCCAGAATACAGGAAACCCTTTCTTCTTGTCCAATGCCAGTTCGGGACTTGTAACAGAGTCCCTGCGGCTCCTTGTAAGCATGCCCGCAAATCTCCAAAGTTTTTCCGGAGTTGCAGCTATCGATAACTTATACTTGGTCGAAATTTTCGACGTATACCAAGAATTGTATTGTATTTTTCCGTAATTTTTATCATGCTCTTCGACGTACTGGTGCATCTTAATATACTTGCGGTTTCTCTTTCTTTAGGGACCGCGTATTGAATTGCGAAGCCACGAATCTGTATCCCACCTGTATGTCAACATAATCAGTGTTTTATTGTCTTATAGAACATAAACCTGCCTTTCAAAAGCCATGGTTTCAGAGTATAATACCAGCGGCGCCAAGTGCAGATGTTCCGAGTTCCACCTTGATACCAATCAGGGTCCAGCGCACAAGTGATCAGTTCTGAAGTGAGGACAATATTATCTTCAGGATATTATCTAATCGTAATCTTGTGTTAGTTAAGCGAAGATCATCATCAGCAGCAGCCTTTCCTTCTCGCGACCGGTTCTTTGATCGGCTCAATATTGATGGGCGACGTCACGGGGCAGAACTGTTCGCCATGGGCTATGTATTTAGGCAAGTACGTATCAGGCGGGATCGTGTAATCTTTAGCGCTCACTCGGAATATATGCGTCATGCATCTAGCGTATTTTGTTGGCGCCCTCCATATGATGGCAGGCAAGATTGGAAAGAAGGGCGCCGCGAGGAACGCCGCTGTCCACACAAATGTGCATCTCGGAGAGCCGGAGGAACCGAACAGGTTCGGGTTAATCCTAGATCCGTTAAGGTTGAGGGTGCGTACTAGGATGAGGAATTCATTCAGGTCGGCCACGAGGTGCGTCCTGCTCACACGTTGCCCCAGGGAATTTGTGATCTGCCGATAGTGGCGTTCCTCCCAATAACTAGGCTTACCCCTTCATGGCGCTGTGGTGTTTCGCACAGTGCACTTCACTGCATCAAAAATTGCGTATGGAACTCCGCACCTAACGTACGACATTGGATGGCCCGTACATTAACACGTCTGTATGATACTGCAAGTACACTGCGAAGAATATTTCAGGGTTTGCGATGCTTCAATCTACGACAGCGTTGACAAACCTAATGGAACAGACTACAACTAGTCAGGCGTTCGAAACTCTTTTACAGAACACTCCTATGCCACTTGTCCTCAACACCATCGGCCAACGTCAAGTACGGCATCAAGTCGCTCGTCAAAAACTCGCTCGGCCATTGTTGCCTGATTTGATCCGTGAGATATTTTGTAGCAATTTTCAAGTGATCATCCTTGACGCTTGGGGCGATTTTCTTGACGCCAGGTGCCTGCTCTGCGATGATGCGGTCGACATATGACGTGGTAATTTGCTCGCCAGTGTCAAGACGTGAACTGTACTTCACCCATTGCCAGAGCTGCACACGTGCGATCTCAGCAGTAGCAGCATCCTCCATCAAGTAGTTGACAGGGATGCAGCCGTTGCCGCCGATCCAAGCTCCGCAGTAGGCAAGAGCCACAGAGATATTAGAGCGGATGCCGTCCTCGGTGATCTTTCCGGGAACATTGGAGCTCAGCAAGTCCGCGGCAGCGACTTTCACATCCTCACGCCGGACGTGATACTACAACCCATGGATGATCAGCATTATCACAGATACAAAAATATCGCGGATGCGCACCTGGTTAGGACCTAGCATATTTTCGTCAAACACTTTGCGAGCGATCTGATTGATCAAGGGGTGTGCAATCCAAGTTCCATCGTGGCCAGCCATGACCTCGCGAAGCTTGTCTGCTCGGACCTTCTCCATTGCCACCTCGTTGGCTTTGGGGTCATCTTTAATAGGAATTTGTGCAGACATGCCGCCCATAGCAGCAACCTTCCTCCTAAAAACACGTGTGAGCGCCATGATAACGCGCAGAAAATAGCATTACTTGTGGCAAGTTTGAATCAGAAGACGCACATACGCATCCATGAAAGGAACGGTCATAGTGACGTCCTTCCTGTCTGATAACACGGCACTTCTGTCCGCCCTGCGCTTCTTGATTGCACTAAATATGTAGTCCCATCTGACAACACACGTGAGTGAGCAACCGACCCATTCACGTATATTTCCCCCACCTTCCACAATTGAGTCCGGCAGAGTGATTTCTGAGCTCGAAGAGTATTTCTTCCATCTGGAATGCTGCGGGAAGCGTCTCGATGAGGACAGTTGCCCTGATTGTGTTGTGAGGTATTCCAATGTAGGATTGGGAGAAGAGGAAGACATCATTCCACAGACGGGCCTCCAGATAGTGCTCCATCTTGGGAAGATAGAAGTAGGGACCCGAGCCGCGCTTTACGAGCTCTCGAGCATTATTGTAGAAGTAGAGGCCAAAGTCGAAGAGAGACCCCGAGATAGGGGTATTGTCGACCGTGACACGCGTCTCGTCCAAGTGCCAGCCCCTAGGTCTAGACAAGATATCAACAACTAATGCAAAGCCAAAAAAAAATACCAAACGTACCGGACAAGAAGCACAGCTGGGTTCTCAGACAGCCTGTATTGCTTGCCACTGGACGCGAAGTCGATCTGTCGGTTAATTGCATCGCGCAAATTGACTTGACCAATAATCATGTTCGCAAATGTAGGAGCGCTAGAGTCTGGAGAGATCATATTAGCGCAACTCTTAGCATCACGAATGATCCGCATACCTTCAAAGTCTGCCATGAAAGTTTTCGCCCCACTATTCAGAGCATTGATGACCATCTTTCGGTCCGTGGGGCCGGTGATCTCAACGCGTCGGTCTTCGAGACCGGGTCCAGGGGGTGCGCAGTGCCATGAAGGTTCAGCACGGATGTGAGCTGTTTCAGGAGGAAAATCAAGAGATACTCCTGAGTCAAACCTGCGCTGTGCATCATCGCGCGCGGCTAGGAGGCTCTGTCTGGTAGACTCGAAGGTTCTATG